ACCCGGGAATTGAACTGTGACCTCCTGGTTCATAGGTTGACGCTCAACCACTGAGCCATACTGGCCGGGCAGGAAATCATCCAAGTTTAGACCAGAGGGATCCCTCTTGTCTGGGCCCCTCATTCTGCAGATGGAAGAACAGAGACTTGGGAAAGGTTGTGAAGGTCAAACAGTGATCTGGCTTGAAAACCAGTTTCCATATTTTCTGGGCTGGAGCGGGGAGCAAAGAAAGGTAAGGAAACCACTCCTGTGGGAGTTTAGGGAATGACAGGGTGACAGCAGGCCCCGAGCTCAATGCTCAGCCCTGCCCCGGGAGCCTTCATGAAACGGACACTGTGCTGCCTGTTCACAGCCTTCAGAGGGGACCGAGTGGAACACACGGAACAGCCTGGCACCCGGTATGCCCCCCAATCTCCAGTTCCTTCCCTTTTCTTGTTTTATCTTTAATAGCATCACAAATGCTTTCAAAAAGGGAGTCACAAAGAAAATCATTTTCTCTTAGAGCTGAATGTTGCCAAAAGACAATTGTGGGCCTCGGATTCCCTTTCCCTTGGGGGCTTTTTTATACGGTGAATGTGAAATGGCCATTTTCCCCGTCAGCGTAATGAGGAAGCAGAAATATTGCTTCTCCCTCCCCCGCCGCCTCTACCGTGCAGCTTCCTCGCAGGTACCGGGCGAGCAGCTTTTAATGGAGCTGAGGCCAGATCCTCCCGGAGAGGAAAGTGATTTCTATGCGATTAGCTGAGTGGTGAGGCTAATAGTTATGATCCAATAAACACACTGATTAGGGTCATTTGTGCTCCCTCCCTCCCCGCTCCGTTCTGCGGGGCCAGGGCAGGCCTGGTACGGGCTCTACTTGAAAGCACCTTGCAACAGCCTAGGCTGGGGCCTCCCAGCGGCTTGGCCTGGGGACGCCTGGGACAGAGCAGTTGGTCTGCCAGCCCAGCCTGCGAGGCAGGAGATTCGGTTCTAACCCCGGCCCTGCCACCAGATCACTTTTCCTCTGCACATTTCCCTCCGTATATCAAAGGCAGAGATACAGGGGCTGAACTTGGGGTGCCTTTTACTAGCTAAGCAGCCCTGGCCCGTTATTTCACCCATTCATCACTCTGTACAAGGCTCTGTGCTACTTGCTTTTGGTCCTCAGTTTGCTCACTTGCCAACCTCAGAGGGTGGTTTGGAGGATTAAGAGAAAAAATATATATAAGAAGGTTCTACGAACCATGGAACAGAGAAAGGGCAATAATAACTTGTTTTCTTATAAGTTTCCTTCTGGCTGACTTTCTCTGGTTCCATGAAAACATGGGCTGTTGCTGGGCACAAAAGAGGGGCTCCAGAGTTATCTATAATAATAAAAGCCTAATATGCTAACGGACGAAGCCAGGGCTGCGAGGGAAGCCCGGATCCCGGGTGCCGGAGGGAAGCCAGTGCTGGCAGCTGGGGGAAGGAAGGCCTACTCTTGCACGAATTTCGTGCATTGGGCCTCTAGTTGTTGAATAAAGGAATTCAACTGTGAAGTGGAATATTAAGCAGTTGGGGGGAATTGTTCCTTTATGATGAGGCATGCTACAGAATCAGGCCTGGTCGCACGGGCTCACCCCACCCCTCCATGAACGAGGCTTCTCCACCACCCCATCCAGTACCCAGGAAGGGGCGCTGGCCGGCCTCCTGACAGAGCACCTCCTCCGTCGGCTCAGTGCTGAGCGGACATCTCAATTCTGGCCCCGCAGTCTGAGTGGCTGGTTTTCTGCCTCCCAGGGTGGCAGGCCTGGCTTAGCATCATGGAAGGCCAGGGTAGACTTCTGCCTTTTGAAGAAGCTGTAAGGCCAAACTGTATTCACAGTGGCCTCTAGTGGCCAATTTCCAAAATACCATCCTAAATGGAAACTTGGCAGCTGAAGGAATCTTCTCAGAATGACCTAGATTTAGAAATTTAGGGTTAAAAAGGACCTAGTTCTCATCTTTGCTTGATGAACAAGTTCCAGAGGTAAAGTGATGTGCCCAAGATCACCCAAAAGTCTCACATCTCTCTGTCCACAAACCTTGCCCCAAACTGGCCAGCTGTGGTTTCAGATGCAGTTAGAGATCATGAATTGCCCGTTTGGAAGAACAAAGGAGGACCCAACTTCTAAGTCAGACCAGGCCAGCTTGGAGTGACACCCTAACTTACTCTCTTCCCCTGCACTTTGCTTCTCTCTTATCTGTCCAAGAATGTTGCTAGAAGGCACCCTGTCCCGATATTTACCTAAAGAATTATAATCTACTCTACAGCAACAGGCTCTGAGGCCACCAAATGATTTGGAGGCAGTGAACTCCGCCACTTCAAAAAATGTGCTTTTCATTGCTTCCTCCTCCACGCGTTACAAGAATGTAGTGACGGCTCAGATTGGCTTGAGGATCTGGGATAGGAATCCTTCCACTTGTGCAGGGGGAGCTATTTTGACATTCTGGAGACACCGTCCAAAAATAAGTCAGGCTGAGTGCTTCCAGAGGGCTAAAGCCTGGGTTTGGAGACGGGGTAAAGCTATTTCTGCAGGTGGATCGCAATCTTTTCCTGCCAGAGAACAATTTTTCATTCGATTCATTCAGCAGTAACTTTGAAGAATTGTGTGAAGTGCTGAGGGGACTCAGAGGGGAGTGAGGCAGGTCTCTGCTCTGAGAGGCAGGCCCAGAGGGAGGGAGCGGTGTGCAAGGTCAGGCTGCTAATGTTGGGATGAAGAGGTGGGTCAGGTGCATGGTGGTTTCAAGGGCCACTGGTAATAACAAGAGCTGTTTCCTAAATGCTGGTCCCTGTTCTAGCTCATTTATGAGGTTAGTACCATTATCCCCATTTTATGGGTGGGGAAACTAAGGAGCAGTGGCATCTGAGCCCCGCAGGGGTCCTCCAATGGCGTAATTGCTGATACCTGCCCTGCATTTTCTGTAACGTCTACTAACCGTGCCATCTCACCCCCTGCGGCACCCACACAGATCTGGCGTCCACGGGGTACCACAGTGGGAGCGAAGGCAGGCCACTGTTCCTTAGAGTTCCACTGTAGCAGCCAAAGCCAAACAAGCACATCCTGGCTTTGAAGCTCTTCATTCTTCCAAGATCACCCCTGGTCTAGGAGGAGGATCAGGTTATGGTCCCAATTGCCCCATGCTCTTAGGATGCACCCCCCACCCCCCCAATTTCATGTTGGACCTAGGCTCTCACCACTCAAAGTGTGGTGTCTGAACCAGCAGTCACCACCTCCTGGGAGCTGCTAGAAATGCAGAATCTCTGGGTAGATGCTGAAGCCAGGCCTGCTTTCTCGCAGGCTCCCCAGTGGTTCTTGTGTGGGGGACAGTGTGAGAAGCCCTGGGCCAGGGCCCTCGGGGCCATGCCTTTACAGTCTGGGTGCCAAACTTCTCACCCATCCACAGACACTTGTTTGAAGGCTTCTTTCATTGGCTTGTTTATTCACAGCTTCAAGCATTCTCTAGATCTCCCAAGTCTAGAATCATCTATCCTTCCCACCAAAGCTGTATCTCTCCCATCCCTGATTACATCCGGCAGTCCCACAACCTCTCTTCACTAATCTCCATCAAAGTTAGAAACTCATCCTTGCCTTCTCATAAGCCACCTTGCCTCGATCTGAGATGTGACTGAAATGGGCTATCTCCCAGCACACCCACTCTTATGAGACTTCTCCTAACTGCACTTATCCTAGGAGGGTGTGGACACTCACAGGACACAGGGATTCATCAGGATTCCCTTAACCAAGCTCCCTTTACGCAGAAACAGAAATTTCTACATCTCTGGCTACTGGCAGAATCTCGGAAATTGTGAAACAATTCCAGTTTCTCTTTGAGGTCACCTCCTTCATGAAGACTGGTTCACACTCACGCGTGATCACCTCACATGCTTGGCATACCCCAGAAACAGGACCTGTGCCTGTGCCTCTCTCTTCCCAGGTGTGCTCACAACCCACTCTCCTTCTCAAAGCAGCGGTAAGGGGTTTCCGCCGCCCCCTGACCTGGTGGAAAGTGGGAGTTGCAGGACTGTAATTCTGGGAGGTACTGGACAAGTGTCTTATTCCTTGCTCTAGAGGTGGACCCAATTATGTCTGCCCAGTTCAGGCTGAAAGAAATGTATTTTTAACTTCCCAAAACAGTACTTTGCCCCCCAAAACCATCTCTGGGAAGTTACAAAGTCATTTACATAGTTTGTTATTGGGAGTTCCTTTTTTTAAAAAATATATTTTTATTGATTTCAGAGAGGAAGGGAGAGGAAGAGAGAGAGATAGAAACATCAATGATGAGAGGGAATCATCATTGATGATTACTCACAACTTCAAGCATTCTCGGGCTGGGGACCGAGCCCGCAATCCAGGCATGTGCCCTTGACCAGAATCGAACCCAGGATCCTTGAGTCCATAGGCCGACGCTCTATACCAGTGGTTCTCAATCTTCTGGCCTTTTAAATACAGTTCCTCATGTTGTGACCCAACCATAAAATTATTTTCGTTGCTACTTCATAACTGTAATGTTGCTACTGTTATGAATCGTAATGTAAATATCTGATATGCAGGATGGTCTTAGGCAACCCCTGTGAAAGGGTCATTCGACCACCAAAGGAGTCGCGACCCACAGGTTGAGAACCGCTGCCTATACACTGAGCCAAACCAGCTAGGGCCCTTTTTTTTTGTTGAGAGAGGAGGACGGGGAAAGGTCGAATATGGGGAACACTTGAGGACTAGAACCTTGTTTGGTCATTCCAGAGAGTAAATCACCATTTCCAAAATTCAGAGAGCAGGAAACATACTGAAGCTACAAGCCCCTCTTCAATCAAGGAGCTACCACTTTAAGAGAGTCAACACCACAACACACACTCCCTCCGACAGGCAGGTGTATCTCTTGTTAGTTTGAGGGACAGTTCAGGTCTCAGCACATCCACCTGGTAATCGCCAGGGAACCCCCCTCACTCAGACATACTCATCGAGATCACCTAACTTCTCTCTTCGGTTCTGCCTTTTTAGGTCAGTCCTGCTCTTGAACGGGAGAAGTCCCCTGGAGATCACAAACCTACAATGATGTGAAATCTTGAAGATGAGCCCTAAAATACAACTTGAGATGGTTCAGAGGTTAAAATGGCTCATAGAACCTCATACAATATTTAAAATCAGACCACAGCAAAAATTTCAAACATCAATGGCATTTTATTTAGGAAGTTTCTATGTATCACACAGGTATTAACTTCCTTTCTCTCATAATCCCCTTAAAAAATACAGAAAGATTAAAAAACAAACAAACAAAAAATGGCCCTTAACATATAAAATCTCGGTTTCTCTAAAGTCTTAGGTTTTTTTTAAAAAAGGCACTGGCACTTCTCCTTTATGAGAAGAATTCAGTCTTTTCTTAGGCTCACTACAGATTTCTACTCCTTCCTGGAAAAAAAATGGTCAACGCTTCTGCTTCCTTTTAGTAAATTCATTTCTTGATTATTACACATTAGCATTCCCCACTTGACACCTTCTTAGACACTTGATTGTTGGATGCATTTCTCATTTGGCAAACATCCAGTGTGGCTTTGCGTGGGATGTCTAAGTGTCAGGAACAGCAGTGTTGATGTTCTGCTTTTGAGGGGGAAATATATATAGCGACGCAGACATTCCCAGGAAGAACAAATGTAGGAGACTGAAAAGGGTGTGCAGAGTGCAGAGGGCTGACAGGCACTGCTTGGTTTGAATTCTGTGGCCGTCAGCCACCGAAGACTGCAGTGTAGGCCAGAATATAAATCTTCGCAGAAAGAAGTTTGGTTGGACCCTGAAATGGCAGAGCTGGCCTCATGTTGTTCCAAGGGTATCAGACAGATGCACAGAAGACGCCGTGTGGGTCGTCTGCAGTGAGCAGTAGCCTGTGTGATCATGCATGGGCAGTTCTGGAAATGCCCTGTCAACCGAGGCTCAGGGAGAAGCGACAAGAAGCATCCTATTAAAATACACTTCCACCTCTAACTCACCCAAGCTCCCAGGCCTCCTTGGCTCCGTGATTCACAAGGCCAAAATGAGTTCAGAGGTGTGTCATTTAGGTCACCCGGACCCCGGTTCGCTGGGCCATTTCAGAAGACCTGGCGAGCAGCAAGGCTACCCAGAAGGGTATGCCTTGATGATCTTCACATCGTCCACAGGGCGGTCCTGGGAGTTTGTTTCCACCATTCCTACTCGATTCACCATTCCTATACCCTGGCACACGCGGCCAAAAATGGTGTGTTTGCCATCAAGCCACTGGGTGGGAGCTAGGGTCACAAAGAACTGGCTGCCGTTGGTGTCTGGCCCTGCATTGGCCATTGCAAGAATTCCAGCCCCTGGTGGGAAAAGGAAGAGAGGGAAGAGTATGAAAAACCCCCACGGCTCCAACCTGGCGCTACTATACCATCGCAGGGATGGAAAGAAGCCAGACTTTGCTCTGGCCTCTCTCATCATCCCCCTTCCCCGGGGCAGGCTCTCTGCCCTTGCACAGAGGCCATCAGCTACACCACCCCAGCCTCTTCGCCTGCTCCCCAGCCTCTGTCCATGGTGATCCTCACTAAACACTGGGCCATGTTGCCACTCCCCTAAAAATCCAGCAAGGCCTCCTGCTTCTCTGCGGAAGCTTTTGTGTTGCTATAGTGTAAGAGCAACATTCAGCAAGCAGAGTCTAGACACTCAGACCAGCACTCTGAATCGCTCGGGTGCTGAGAGGCGCCACTCTCTCTAATCCTCCAGGGCTCTCCGTGGCGCCGGGCGGGCAGCTACGTGGCACCGTGCCACCATGTCAGGCTTTCACCTTGAATCACAGCCAAAAGAACGAACCTTCAAAATCCACCCTCCCTTCTCACCCAGTCCAGCAGATTACATACTTACCCGTGAATTTCAAGTCTGGATGAAGTTCATCTTCAAACTGCTTGCCATAGATAGACGCACCACCTCGACCTGCCACATTGGAAGACGAGAAGCCAATCAGCCAGTCTCACATCCCCTCTCTCAGCAAGAACTATGCCCGGGATCAAAGGATTTTTGGAGTAGAGGAAAGGAAAAGGCAGGGAGCAATGAGCCCCAGCCAGTGTGCTGCAGCCACACAGCCCAGCAGCAGAACCAAGCACTACCCAGCACGTTCCAATCACTGGTTTCACTCAGGTAAGACATTTCTTTTCAAAATAACACCAAGAGTGTTTTTCTCACTTATTAAAGTTATACATGTTCGCTGTCAAAAATGTAGAAAACACAGAACACTATCAAAAGAACATTAAAGTGCCCTGTAATCTAACCATCTACAGATAATAACCATTCATAGTTTGATGAATTAAGATATTTGTTAAATTCTTAACATTTTGATGAGTATTTCAGACAGGAACGCTGAAGCCCTAACCCTGTTGCTAATCAATCAGCACTTTCCTGCTGAGCTCAGATTTGCCCCTGATTCCCAATGGACCCAGAACCTTCAGCAGCCATTTGTAATGGATCAGAGATGGCACAAGAATTGAAAGCTATTTCCCTTAATCTAGATGAAGAAAAATAAGTCAAAGACATCTCGCTTAAGGAGAAACAGGAATGGCGGTCAGGGGCAATGTGGCAGGAAGGAGAGGCAGTGTGTTGGAAGGAGACTATGAAGAAACACGGGGTTGGGAATGATTTGCTAGTGACCTCACCACCACCAGGTAGTTATACTGTGTCTGCAGAGCCGGTGCTGTGCTGGACACCCAGGTTTTGTTGTTAGAACAAAGTGATATGTTCAACCATCTGCCTTACTGAAGTACTTTGGTTTCTCCGAGTTGACCAGCCAAGACAAACCGTGAACACTGGGTTTACCAGCTGACTCTGCTGGCCCGGCAGCCAGAAAACAGCCCGCACCCAGGGAGCGCCCCTCCCTGCAGTCAGCCTGCTGGGAAAGCGCCATGCCCACCCCGCAGGCCCCGGGCCTGGGCCACGGTGTTTCCATGGTAAAAATCCTTCGCTTTACCTTTTAGGATGTTCCACCACAGGGAGCCTGTCAGAGCCCCCGGTTCTTTGCAAAGAGGAACGGGGGTGATTCCTAACAGACTCAGAGGAAGCCTCCCACCTGGCCCAGGCTACCTACGCTTCTGGACTAAACTATGTAAAACTTCATTCCAAAAATTCTAACCTGCCAGTGTACCTCCAAACAGCTGTAACGTAGCCAATATGTTCTCTCTGACTACAGAGTCCAGACTCCTGTGTGAGGTTTGCGGGGAGGGGTGGTTAGTGGAAATGCTAGGGCTGAAGATGAGAGAGGAGAGGGTGGGGCAGCAAACGGTCCAGCCCACACCCAGGCCTGACAAGCCAGCTGGGGAGAATGCTCAGGAGCGCACTGTCCACCCGCGACCGAGCCTCGGAAGCGTGACCCCTGCAAGCCGGGGCTGCAAGAATGAAACGTCAAGGCCACTGAAACCCACCACATAAATGGCTCCACACGCAAGAGGGGGATTTCAGGAGTCACAGAAGCAGCCTGGGTGCAAAGTCATCCGAAGATCAAAGAGCACCGAGCCCCTTTTTACTCTCTAGGCGTAGTCTGACCAACGGCAGCGAGTCTGAGCCTCTGCAGCACATTTACTCATAACATGCTATTTTCATAACCTAAATCCACTCAGTAGCGTTTGTAACAAAATGTCATCAAGACAAATAATTCCAATCAAAACATTCCTTTGGGCATGTGGAACGGGGGAGCCCTGGTTGGGGGGCAGAGTGATGAAAGAGCTCTCTGGTGCAGAGCAGGATGCACAGGTGTCACTTACAAAGGATCACTTACAAAGCCGACTATGTTGCTGTCAAAAATGTGCTATGTGCCTGGCCTGGTATAGATACAGCAGAGACAGGCACAGACCTGCTTTCTAAACTCTCTACTCCCCAAGTCCTTTTATTCTTCTGTCTTCTCCTTTAAACATTTATTCAATACTAGAGGCCCAGTGCACAAAATTCATGCCCCAGGGGGGTGGGAGGGTCCCTCAGCCTGGCCTGCGCCCTCTCGCAGTCCAGGACCCCTCGGGTGATGTCTGCCTGTGGGCCTAAGCCCACAGTCAGACATCTCTCTCGCAGTCCGGAACCCCTTGCTCCTTACTGCTCGGCTCACTGCTCCTTAGTGCTGTGGTGGAGGTGGGAGAGGCTCCCGCCACCACCGCTGTGCTCACCAGCCGTGAGCCAGCTTCTGGCTGAACGGTGCTCCCCCTGTGGGAGCACATTGACCACCAGGGAGCAGTTCCTGCACTGAGCATCTGCCCCCTGGTGGTCAGTGTACGTCACAGCGACCGTTTGTTCCGCTGTTCGGTTGATTTGCATATTAGGCTTTTATTATATAGGCTACTTAGTATTTCATCCATACAAGAAAATGCAAATAATATAACAACTATACATCTTACCCTTAAGGAACAAAATGTGGCAAATCAGTTAGACCCCATGCATACACACCCTGCTTCCCTCCACCCCCACTCTCCCAGGGAACCACTATTCTGACCAGCAGTTTGTTATTTCCATGCATTTTCTTCTTTACTATGTATATATGCATCCCTTAAAAAATGTGTTGTTCTGCATGTTTTTAGGTTTAGAGAAGTGTATTATAATGCAGTCTTCTGCAATTAGCTTTTTTCTGTTCACCACTGTCACAGTCATGTACTTTGTTCCGTGCAGCTCTCTGAAATATTCATTGCGCTGTGTGATTACACCAATCTTATCTTTTCTCATGTTGATGGCTCTTTAGGGTCTTCCCAATGTTTTCCTATTACAAAACACACTGTAATAACCACTCTCTTATGGTCCACAAACAAGTGCAGGACCTCTCAGAGACCACAGCTCGCTAGGGATATATATGCAGGGTCACAATCGGACTATTTCACCATTACTCCATGTGGGAAGCACGCCAGGTCCCCGGACAGTCAAAGCCAATGGGAGCACAGAGGCCTTGTTATCAATACACCAGAATGGCCAACGGCCGCTCTGGGCATGAGCCTAATTGGAAAGTCCAAGGACTCGGAGCCTGGGAATCCTAATCAGGCCAAGATACCATGAGTGGGTGCAAGGACACATGGTACACTGTGCCCTTCAGTAGTCAATAAGATTGATGTAACTACTGGCACAAAGCCTTCTTTGTCTAAATGGTATAAAAGTAGGTTACTGACCAGCTAGTCTGCTGGAGTATGGAGAGAGAGCAGCTAAGATGAAGTGTGAGAAGAAGTGTGTTAGAGAGAGAGCAGCGGGGCAGGAGAGACAGGAGAAGCTGCTGAGCCGGAGAGCTCAAGTACCGCTACGATGGGAGGCGGTGAGTCTAGAAGGCAGCGTGCGGCTGCTCAGATAATGACTGTGGGGACAGAGACTGATGCTGCTTCTGGGGGAAAGGTATGTGCTCACCAGCCGGTGTCCGGCTGCCTGCCTGTACGGACCTTGCTGTGAGGACTGTTCTTGTCTGATGGCTCTGTGGCCACTGGCTTCTGCAATGAAGACTCATTCTTATACACCCACAGCCTCTCGTGGCGTCTCCGTCTGCCCCACCACCAAGAACTGACCTGAGGAACTTGGACTAAGTTCCCAACAGTTAGTACAGTGGGCAGGGTTCAAGGAAGAACCAGCCCTGATGTAATCAGATAGGATAATTTATTTATTTATTATTTATTTAAAATATATTTTTATTGATTTCAGAGAGGAAGAGAGAGGGAGAGATAGAAACATCAATGATGAGAGAGAATCACTGATCGGCTGCCTCCGCATGTGCCCTTGATTGGAATTGAACCTGGGACCCTTCAGTCAGCAGGCTGATGCTCTATCCACTGAGCCAAACTGGCCAGGGCCAGATAGAATTTAGAAGAATACATGGACTCACAGCCACTCAGAGCACCCGAGCTCGTGTAGGGCTCTGGCTTGTGCTCTGACACTCCATTTCCCAAATATCTTGCCAGAAGAGCCCCAATGTGCACCCCCACCCACAGTGCTCTCTCTTCCTCTTACTGCTCTAGGTTCTCTGGCAGCTTTCTAACATTTGTCAGTCTAACAGGCGTCTGATCGCTTGTGGGGTTTTAACCTGCGTTTCCCTGACAGAGGAAATGTGCATAATTTCAGTTTATTGGCCACTTAGCTTTCCTTCTCTGTGAACAGCCACTTTTCTAGTGAGTGGCTTGACATTTTAGAATTTATATGTATATTATATCATTAGGATTAGTATTCTGGATACGAATCCTTTTTCAGCTAATGCTTTGCAAATACCCTCTTCCAGTTGACTTTTTGCACTTTTGTATGCTGTCTTCTGATGCACATAAGTTTTTGCTGTTGAAATTCCTTAATCTTTTTCTTTATGACCTGTGCTTTTTGCTTCTTAAAAAAACATTTATCCTCAAGATTCCCGATGTCTTTTCTTCCTCCTCCTGCTCACTGACTGTGAAAACCTCTTCAGACGAACTGGAGTGGCATCGAAGACACAGGGAATGGCCTCTAACCGTGGTGCTTGCTACCTGTCCCCACGACTCCCATGCCACAGCTGTGAGACCCGAGGTTAACACCAGCCCCAAAGCAGCCACAGGTAGGCCAGTCAGTGACCCATAAGGGGACCCACGTGACAGCTCTGTCTGGGGCACTGCACACTGGAAGGTGACGGACCAAGCCAATCAAAGCCTTTCTTCTGGGAAGGGAACCTCTCACAGACACTACAGGCTGGCTGTCCTCTGAGCACCCCCATCGCCTTCACAGCCGGCCTCAACCTCAGAGACAAGGAAGGCGGGTATCAACCAGATGCCTTTGCAACAAGGGTGGCCAGATGACCCAGTTCTGACTTCTAACATAAACAGAAGCCTGCCGAGTAGACTCCTGGGAAAAGGACAGCTTTCCTGATAAAAAGGGACAAACACGCTCCTAGTCTTTCACCCATAGCTCTTTCCCCATCTTCCTTCTCTGAAAGCAGATGTTAGGAGTAGCAGCAACCATCTTGCAAACATAAGACAAGTTTGAGATCAAAAGTCAAGACACTAAGAACTGTGGAGAGGAAACACATAGCAGGCCTGGGTCCCTCACGCTCTGCTGGGCAGCTGAACCAATGGCTGCAACTGCTACTCCACACAGTCCCTTACTGAGAAGAACAAAAGCTCTTAGTGTAAGCCATTAGGGCTGAGTTTTCTGTTACTTGTAGCCAATGGCATCCCAAGTCATACAACCACTTTGTTAGTAACAGGAGGAAGGGGGACTGACAAGTGCAGCGGCTGTTAGGGAAACCCGGGAAATGCCAAGCACCAGATCTAACTGGGAAACCAGCTGCGGTTCTCCCAGAAGCTTTGAATTCTTAAGATGTTCTCTCTTCCTCACTTGCCTTTGGGGCCAAGAGATCCAGATTTCGGTTCCAATTCCACCATTTCCTAGCTAAGTAACTTTCGGGAAATGCCAAGCACCAGATCTAACTGGGAAACCACGCTGCGGTTCTCCCAGAAGCTTTGAATTCTTAAGGTGTTCTCTCTTCCTCACTTGCCTTTGGGGTCAAGAGATCCAGATTTCGGTTCCAATTCCACCATTTACTAGCTAGGTAACTTTAAGCAAGATACTTACCCTCTCTAAGCCTCTGTTTCCTTGAATGCAAACAAGAATAGTAGTACTTATGTCTCATGTGATTGTTATGAGAATTAAAAAATGCACGAAAGCCATGCAGTTCTATAGACAGTAGTAGTACCTGCCATGATAGGCTCCCTTTAACTGAGAGAACCTGAGCATTTTCCGTGAGAGGCAAAAGGAAGTCGTGATTTTGGGTTTATTTCAATTCCTCCGTCCTCAAACCTCACCATTCCCTCACTGCTCCTTGCTCTTTGTAACTTTCCTTCTTCTTTCACTGAGAAAAAGGCAAAAGAGACCTTTCACATGCTCACACGCCCAATTCACTTCTCTTCCTACATCTTACCGTTTCTTCCTACATCTTTCTTCCTCCGTTATTAATACAGTATGAATAAATTGTTCATCTAACTATCTCACCACCACAAACCATTTACCTGCAATGAACTTTGCAGCTACAATTACCCCCTCTCCTGTATCAATTTTTCTTTCTAGTGGATCATTCCATCAGCATAAAAACATGGTATGAATATTTCCCACATTAAAAAGCAAACAAAAGAAAAAACTCCATCTCCTAGTATCTCCTCATTGTCTTGCATATCATTCACAGAAAAATCTCCTCAAAAAAGCTGTCGTCACTTGGTGTCTCCACTTCCTCTCCTGCCTCTTGAATGCTCTCCATTCAGATGTTTGCCTTCACCACTCCAACGAAACTGCTTCTGTCAAGGTCATCGGTGACTGCCACGCCCTTGAACCCAATGGCCAGCCCTCAGGCCTCAGCTTGCTTGATCCATAAGCAGGATCTGACAGCTGATGTCACCCTTCTTGAAACCCCACCTCACTGGCGGCTCCTCATACTTTTCTGCCGGTGCTTTCTCCTCTGCCTGCTCTCCTTTCACAGGTGTGAGGCCTGCACTGATGTGTGAAGAACGCCCCTCCCAGCCCTTACTCCCTCACCCCTTTATCTTTCACCGGTGTTACCCCAATAAAGCTCTTCCATGCCTAACTCTGTTTTGGCATCTGCTTCCCAGAGGACTAGGACCCACAGAACCACGATCACCTTGGTCCAAGCTACAAGTTCTAGCTTCGACAATGAAAGCTTCCAATTGGTCACCTTGCCTCTCCCTTTCCACACCAGTCGCTTCTCCACCTGGAGGCCAGAGGGATCCCTTAAAAACAAGTCACAGTGTGGCAGTGGTCTGCTCAAAATCCTTCCGTGACATTTCAACACTTAGGACAAAATCAAAGTCTTCAGCACAACTTACAAGACACCCCATGATCAGGGACTCAGCTAACCTTCAAAGTCACCTCCTGCCACTCTCTCCTCACTCACCTGCTCCAGGTACTGTCCTCTGGGCTGTTTCTTGCCAAGCACAGCCTGGTCTAAGGCTCTGACTACTGTTCCCTCTGAGTGTCCTGCCCCTGGCAGTCTCAGAGCTCACTACTTCCCTGTATTTAGAACTCTGCTCAAATGCACTTTATCTGACGAGAGGTCTTCCCTCATCACACTCCCACAACAGCACCTCCCTCACTCTCTATCCAGTGGTTCTCAACCAGGGATGACTTTGCCCCCTAGGGAACTGGGTAATATATGGGGACATTTTTAGTTGTCACAGTGAGGGGTTCTATTGGCATCTAGCAGGTCGAGGTCAGGGATTCAGCTAAACATCCTACAATGCACAGGAGAGCCCCCATCCCCCACAACAAAGACTTATCCAGCCCAAAATGTCAATAGTGTCAAGGTTGCAAATACCTGCTCTACCCCCTTATGCGTTATTTCTTCTATATCATGTCATGACCTGACAGTATATTATGTACTTATCTGCTCATTGTCTGTCTCTCACACCACAGTGAGCTCCACACGGCTTTCTTATTCACTATTGTGTCCCCAGCTCTTAGAACGATGCCTGGACCATGGTAGGAGTCTAACAAACATTTGTTAAATGAATTAACAACCAAAATAAATAATAACTAAACTTTTTTGCACTCCTATTTGTATCAAGCCTGCGCAAACCATTTGATGAAGATCAGCTCATTTACTACTCACAACAACCTCATGAGGTGCATATAACCACCCTCCCCATTCATAGAGAAGGCTCAGCAAGGTCACATAACTAGTCTACATTTAGTAAGTGTTCCTGTGGAGCCAAGACTCAACCCCAAGTCTACCGGGCCACAACCTCCTGTTCACCCCACACCCATGGTCGGCAAACTGCAGCTCGCGAGCCACATGCGGCTCTTAGGCCCCTTGAGTGTGGCTTTTCCTAAGCCTTAGGAGTACCCTAATTAAGTTAATAACAATGTACCTACCTATATAGTTTAAGTTTAAAAAATTTGGCTCTCAAAAGAAATTTCAATCATTGTACTGTTGATATTTGGCTCTGTTGACTAATGAGTTTGCCGACCACTGCCCTAGAGTAAAGGCTATTCTAGACTTTCCTAAAATTTTAGAAACAAACCTCAATTAGATCAGGTTGATCCACAAGTAAATTGATTGCCTGACAAAACAAACTTGAAAACACTTTAATGGAAGATAATATCTAGGCATGCAAAGTGTAACAATCACAATTCCAAGCACCCAATAAAAATGATTAGACATGTTAAAAAAATGAAAAAATGTGACCCATTACAAGGAAAATAACGTTAGTAGTAAGAAACTTAGACATGACATAGAAATCAACATGTAACAGCTTTGAAATTGCTGTAACAAATATGCTCATGGAATTAAAAAAAAATTTAGTGAGGAGAGAAATAAAAACATTTAAAAAAAATCAAAGGGAACTTCCAAGAATGAAAAAAATCAATATTTAAAATGAACATGTTATAGGATGAACACAATGGAAGATTAGATAATATAGTGCAAGACATCAGTGAAGTTGAAGATATAGGAATAGAAGCTATCCGAAGGAAAGCAGAAAAAGAAATAGATTAAAACAAGTGAATGGAACCTCAGCAATATTTGACACAATTTCAGGTACTTTACATACCTATATATAAAATCCAAGGAGAAAGGTAGGGGGCAGAAAAAGTATTTGATGAAATAAAAAAAAAACTCCAAATTTGATAAAAACCATAAATTATAAATCCAAGAAACTCAACAAATCCCAACCAAAATTAACAATCACATAAACAATAAGCAAAAAAACCCTACCAAAGTATATCTTTATCAAATTACTGAAAATCAATGATAAAGAGAAGTTCCTAAAACAGCCAGAGGAAAAGAAAATATCATGTATATAAAAGGGAACAAAGATGTCAGACTTATTATTAGAAACAATATGAGCCAATATGTAATTGAAAAACAGATTTAAACTACTGGAAAAAGAAAATAAAACCTGTTAACCTAGAATTCTATATTAAGCAAAAATGTCCTTCAGAAGTGAAGGTGAGAAAAATATATATATTCAAAGAACCTATATAATTTTATTAACCAATGTCACCCCAATAAATTAAATAAAAAAGGAAAAGAAGACTTATTCAGACAAACATAAACACCACATAGCAAGATTGTGGATTTAAGCCCAACCATATAAATAATTCATGAAATGTAAATGGACTAAAGACCCTAAATAAAAAACCAGTATTGTCAAATTTGGCCTTTTATTTGGGGCCTTTACTCCATTTACATTAACAAAGCAACAATTAACTCTATAGTACCTACAAGAACTTACTTTAAGAGGCCTCAGCCGGCTCAGGGCTGGCAGGAAGCTTGGCTTCCTCCATCGCCGGGCAACCAAGCCTCCGGCTTGCTCCAGCTCCGTGGTTGGGTTAATTTGCACATAGTCGCTCTGATTGGCTGATGGGCGTGGCTTAGGGCATAGCGAAGGTGCGGTCAATTAGCATCTTTGTCTTTTATTAGTGTAGATTATTCCAACCTATGTTATATAATAATCCACAGCACACTTGCATACATTTGCATATCCTATATAATAAAAGCCTAATATGCTAAGTGTCCGGTCATCTGTTCAACCAATCAGAGCGTAATATGCTCACATGCTAAGACCACTCAACCGCTCGCTATTACATGCACTGACCACCAGGGGGCAGACAGTCGACCACTCAACCAGTAGCTATAACTTGCACTGACCACCAGGGGGCAGACACCCCAACCGGTAGGTTAGCTTGCTGCTGGGGTCCAGCCAATCAGGACTGAGCAAGACAGGCCGGACATGCCCTGGAGCCCTCCCCGGCCCCGATTGTGCCCCAGTGGGGTTCCTCAGCCTGGCCTGCACCCTCTCGCAATCCAGGACCCCTCGGGGGATGTCGGAGAGCCGGTTTTGGCCCGACAGCGGAATGGCCGGTTGCTATAACATGCACTGACCACCAGGGGGCAGACACCCCAACCGGTAGGTTAGCTTGCTGCTGGGGTCCAGCCAATCAGGACTGAGCAAGACAGGCCGGACATGCCCTGGAGCCCTCCCCGGCCCCGATTGTGCCCCAGTGGGGTTCCTCAGCCTGGCCTGCACCCTCTCGCAATCCAGGACCCCTCGGGGGATGTCGGAGAGCCGGTTTTGGCCCGACAGCGGAATGGCCGGTTGCTATAACATGCACTGACCACCAGGGGGCAGACACCCCAACCGGTAGGTTAGCTTGCTGCTGGGGTCCAGCCAATCAGGACTGAGCAAGACAGGCCGGACATGCCCTGGAGCCCTCCCCGGCCCCGATTGTGCCCCAGTGGGGTTCCTCAGCCTGGCCTGCACCCTCTCGCAATCCAGGACCCCTCGGGGGATGTCGGAGAGCCGGTTTTGGCCCGACAGCGGAATGGCCGGTTGCTATAACATGCACTGACCACCAGGGGGCAGACACCCCAACCGGTAGGTTAGCTTGCTGCTGGGGTCCAGCCAATCAGGACTGAGCAAGACAGGCCGGACATGCCCTGGAGCCCTCCCCGGCCCCGATTGTGCCCCAGTGGGGTTCCTCAGCCTGGCCTGCACCCTCTCGCAATCCAGGACCCCTCGGGGGATGTCGGAGAGCCGGTTTTGGCCCGACAGCGGAATGGCCGGTTGCTATAACATGCACTGAC